GCTCTGTCCTGGTAGACATACATATAAATACACACACACATAAACAACGAACCTCACATACAAACACACTGAAAAGGTAGATGTCTTGTGAAATGAACCAGTCTTACAGAAGTCATGAAAAACTCAATGTCTAGAAACTGATTTCTGTAAATTCTCTAATATAGGGGCGTTCTAGTGAAGTATTATGCATGTAACTCCACTGTGAGAACCACTCTTCCATATGATGGTGTCCCTGATAGTCTCCGCTCCTCTCTATACTTTCAGATGATCCAGCAGCATGGGCGGGATTAATGGGTGCCTGCCACACAGAAAACACATCCTGTTATCTTTCTGGTTCTGCCCCTTGCAGACAAGGACTGGAGAAAATCCTCATGGCAGTGGTTTCTGAGAAAGGTGTGTCTGTGTGTGTGTGTGTGTGTGTGTGTGTGTGTGTGTGTGTGTGTGTGTGTGTGTGTGAGAGAGAGACATTGACGTCTCTTTCTTTTTCCCAGTGCGTAATGTGGAGGAAATAGAGCGCCCTCTAGCCCAGACTTTAGAAGGCTGGGTACTGCAACAGGCAGTGACTGGTCTCGTGCTGGCTGGACATCTGGAGCAGGCGGAAGCCCTCTGCTCACAGGTTCGATATGAACACGCACACATCCTTATTATTTTCTGATTTACTTTATTCTAGAAATTGTAATATCTGTTTGAGGCTGATGTGAGTCCTCTTCCTTTCACTCTTGTGTTTCTCACGCAATGTCTGCTTTGTCCCAGGTGCTGAATGTTTCTCCAGAACACCCAGCAGTGATGCTGTCACTGAGACAAGTGCAGTGTCAGCGCCTCCTTCTGGCCAAAGGTGGTACTGTCCTCCCAGACTCAGTGCTGGAGCAGCTCAACAAAACAGTGATGATGAACCCCACAAACCTAGGGGCATGGCTTGTAAGTGGACGCTCATTCATTTCATACCACTCATTTAATATACTACGATTGCACTTTGTATTGAAGTGAAATACTAATGAGCTGTTACTTTTTAATTTCAAGCACCATTTGTTTAGTGTTACCAACAGTGTCATGCCTAATTGTTCACACAGACATAAACAGGTAGCAAAAACAACCAACATTTCAACCAGACTTGAATGTATTGGTTGTGTCAGTCTTGAATTGTCACTTGTTGAGGTCATGTTGTATTGAAATGATCTGACTTTTTTTTCTTCGCACCACAAACAAGCAGTTTTTCCTTGCTTCCACTGAAATAGCAGCCTAACAAAGACCCTTTCTGGTCCTTGCTCGAGGCCTTATACTGCAGCACAAACACCAAATGATTGCTATCAGCTGGGAGGAAGCAACAAAGAAGTCATGCTCTCTATTTTAGGCTTTGAACATATCGCAGATTGTAGCCATGGTTAATGACCACAAATATTACAGCGTAAATGTGGAGTCATGTATCAGTATCAGGTTGTCATAGTCAGAGCTGTATATAAATAAAATAAATGTTAAAATGCAGGAAATACTTTTATGTAATGATAGAAAATAAATACTCTTGCTATTTTTGTAAGTTGTTTTATCTGTGGATAAATTAATTAAGCTTCACAGTTCAGTTGCTGCAAATAATAAAGTAGACATTTGGCTTCTTTCTTGATATTATAAAAATATTTCATTGAGAAGTGATTGTATCTATTTACTTGCTTTAGATATTTGCATTTTTGTGCCAGTAGTTTCATATTTTCTTCAACTTTAAACAAGAGCCAGTTGATTATTTCTTAGTGATTATCAGATCAAAGCTTAGGAATGATCTCTGAAAAATTATTGTATAACTTTAATCTCTCTTTCTTCCCTCTCTTCTTTTAACATTTCCTTATCTCATATTGCCTATATATATATATATTGCCTCTTCTATGCCCCTCTTGCCTCACCTCTCACCCTCCCTCTCCCACCCATTCTTCTGTCAATCTGCCATCCTCACCTCTACTCCCATTCATCCCTGCTCATCCTGTCGCCCTCCTCTCCTTCGTTCAGTGGCTGGCTGAGGTGTATCGTAGCCAGGGTCTGCTGGTCCAGGCAGTCATGGCTTACAGGCAGAGTCTGCAGCTTGCCTCACAGCTCGGCCTGCACAGCAGCCAGGTTTCCAGCCTGCTGCGACTAGCCCTGCTTGCTCTAGTACCCTGTATGGTGAGTTCTTTCATAGGATATAACAAGAATCTACATCTAGTTAAAATTGTCACAGGAGTTTTAGCAAGGACTTGTAGTGTTTTAGAATTATAACAGGCAGATTTACATATTACTACACACACACACACACACACACACACACACACACACACACACACACACACACACACACACACACACACACACACACACAGACAACACACACACACACACACACACACACACACACAGAGGCAGAGGCAGCTCCTGTCTACATTCCTGTCATGTGGGCAGAAATCAGGTGGGGAAATATCCAGCAGAATTATGGGATCAGCAGCCATGGCCAAATGGAAATACAAATGAGCTACTTTTGTAATTTAACTGGAGGGAAGGTGGTTGTTAGTCGTCTGCTCACTTGACAGAGAATCCTACCATAGTTTCCTACCATAATTAAACAATTATTTTTTATTTGACATTTTGCTAACTCTGTAAATATCATCTAGTTTTTTTGACAGTCACTGCTCCTCTGAAAGCAGTTACTGACACAGAGCAGGCAGGTGCTGTGCACACTGTTAGCAAACTGTACAGTTAAGGTTTAGTACATGAATCAAACTTTTATTTAGGCTTCTCTTAGCTAGTTTTATTCTTAACCATGTGTGATCTGACCTCTCAGGCAGGTGTCCCAGGAAATGACTGGAAGGACCTGGTACTAGAGGCCACAACTGAGGTTTTGAAGCTGGGCTCCTCCCCTATGGCCCAACTCTTCCAGGCCCTGCTCCAGTATGTGACCAAGATGGCAGCTAGGTCAGTGCTTCTCACAGTGTTGTTTATCCTGCTGCAGGTAATATACAAATGCTTGTGCAAGCTGCAGGTGCATCTGTGCTGCTATGTGTCGATATGCAAATGATTTTTTACCACTATGCCTCCATCTGTCTTTTCAAGATGTTAGTACTTTTGGAAACGCAAAGCAAAGTTTTCCTGTCCTGACATAATAGCCTTCTGTCACTACCTCACAAACCTGCCAGGACACTTAATTAGAGTGCTACATCGATCAGAGACTGAAGCGAATGCGTAGGCCAATCATGAATTGGCTAAATTCCTAGAGAGATCTTGCAGGAACTCCTCTGTGCCAAGCATAATCACAAGACTAGTTTTATTTTATTATATATATTAGAAAAATCTGATGAAAAATAAACAGTTATGGACATGAACGTGTTATATCTTTTGCCTATTTCTGAGCATGTCTTCTGCAGGGAAACAAGGCGTTTGTTGGAGAGGCTGGTGTATGTTTCCTCTCAAGACTTCCCAGTGACAGTGGTGCAGGTGGCCAGCTGGTACCTCCTCAGACACTTGCATGCCAAAAATGACCAGGAGCTGATCACTGTGAGTACACAGCTGCCTCATACCTACACTGGCACCAGATGACTGAAATATTTTGTGGTATGTAATCATTTCAAATGCCTGTTTCCAACCATAACTTCTGGGGAAACGGCAACAGCACGTAATTATCAAACGTGAAACTGGTCATAATTAATGTCCTTACATGTGCATTGAGTGTTTACTTTCAATGCAACTTGAACATATTTTCTCATCTTTTTTTTAGGTCCTTTTGCAACATGCCAAAATGAAGCGAGATAAAAGACTGCTGGAGTTTGATTCACTGCTTGCCTCTTCTTCATCCTGAATTGCAATCTACAAATGCCTCACAATGGAATCATGGAGCTTAATGGATTTATCCACAGGTTGAAGTGATCACCAGTTCAGCTTTTCTAGGTCTCATCATATCAAACTGGACTCTATGGGTCTGATATTATAAATGTGAAATTTATTGGCTTTACATGATTCTTTGGTTTTACATTATCCAATAATAAGAAAATCAATTCAGTAAATCAAATTCATGAGTGCTATAACATATTATTTCAAAATGTATTCAGACAAAGTAACCATTATCAACATTTAGGCTGAAATAAAAGCATTTTGCTCAATATGTAAAGATAGTCTCATCTTGATTGCATGTAATCTTAATGCATGCTGATCTGTCAATGGAGTATAAATTAGAGCACTATCAACAATAAATACCTTTAGAAAAGAACTTTGTAAGCAATCTAAAGTGATCCTCAATTCATGTTCAGCAGAAACTATTGGCATATTACACCAATCACAATTGTTCATTTGTGGAAGAAAAAGGAGAAAGTTTGGTTATACCCTGAGTTAAGTTTCTGCTCTGGTTAAACCTGCAGTGCAGAACTTTTGTCTCCCCCTTTGGCAGTGAGAGTAGTTAGACAAACACTGTTGTTCAAGCCAAACTCCTCGCTGCCTATCTCTTTCTTTGTTAGACTGTAATCCTTTTTCTAACTGCAGAGTTTCTTTTTTATCTGGAGCATCAGAAACTTTATTTGGACCCTTCCTCGGTTTTTCTGCCACACTCCTAGTTGCATTAGCCTATTCTGCCTCTGTTGTCGCTATGATTACTCCCTTCTTGAACTCTGGCAAAGCAATCATTGCTGGTTCATGAAAAACACATCACTACCGGTTCACCAGACACCAGATTTATGACTCTGGTATGCAGTGAAATTTATTTACCTGAAAATAGATTTCCCTGCTGTTGATAGGCTTAATTAGCATAGTGTGAGCTCTTTTGAATGTAACAGATGTTCATTTACGTGTAAACTCCCGCACTGCAGCTTTAACCTTTGCTTTAGTTTTCCCTCAACTGTGTCTGGTCATTTGGTCATGACTCCTGTGATGGAAGTCTGAAAATTAACAGTTGACAAAATGATCAAGTTGTCTTTATATATTTCAATAAGAGCTTTGCAAAGGATCAGTGTACAATCACACAGAGTGTAATCACAGACTGAGTACCAGATAGATAGATACTTTATTTATCCCCTGGGTGATATTCATGAACACCAGATAAGTAGTTTACATGTGAGAACAGATTCATAATACCAAATAAGGATTATCAATGATTCATGTCCAAGGTTATACAAAGTCAGACCATACAAAGTGCAAAATATGATTTTTCTATTACAATCCTCATCCCATCTGTTTCACAACCTAACTGTTTTTCAGGGCCTTACACCCTCTCAGACCCTAACTGAACAGACATGCTTGGTCATTAGTGTGCAGATGTTTTGCCCACAGCCCCAGCAGGATTGCTTTATGTGTTGAGAGCCATGCAGGGTCTTTCTCTTGCACAGGGAACACACATCCGCAGCACCACCATGTGATGCTGCATCCCAGTCTCCTCCACTTTGGTTTGTAAGACTGTTAGCTACACTCTGCTGAAGCTCTGCCAGTACATTTTCTGGTGCTTTTGCAATGCCCACGACCTTCACTCTTTTGGGGTCGAACACACAGTCCTCCTCTAGACCACTGGGCACAGCTTTCATGCCACAATTGGGGGGGACCCAGGCAGTGTTGTAGCCCTGCGTGCTCCAGGTGTACTGCATAGGATGGTTGTCTGTGTCGATACGCTTGACACGGCCAACACGCACACGTAACTCAAGGACCACACGGACTGAAGGGTTCATCTTCAATGGATAACGTTTGGCCTTTTTCTTATCACGACTGACATAGACGCCTTTTCCCAGCATGCCACCTGAAGATTGCTGAAAGCCATTGGCAATGATGAGTCGTGCATTGGCAACGCTGGTGCCATGGTACATGGTGTAAACGGCCTGGTCCTTGGGCTCCTGAGAGGCCCTCAGCTCCACACGAGAGTCATCATCATAGGTCGCCTCCCAGCCAAAGAACTGTAGCGACATCCTGCTTCAACAAGGGATACTGTGGGGAATGAGGGCAAAAATGGCATCATGTTTATGACAGATTTAAGAGTGAACGTAGGGGACCTTTCAGGTCAGTGTTAAAAAAATGACTGGATGTAGCATTAATGCTTTCAGTGGATATGGTGTCATGCAGTAGACAGTGTTGCACCAAAACCTGTGACCCATCATATTCTCCATACCAGTCAAGAATTTCAGTTATGTTGCCACTATAAATATTTTTATGTTTAATCACAAAATATATCTTGAGTGGAGCTGACACGTTGCCTCAATTTTTAAATACAAGGTCACAACTACAACTACCACTAACAGAAACTTTTGTGTTGAGAACCGTCTAACACTTCCGCACTAACAGCATCTGTTGCATGTCCTCTATGTAGCTGACCATGTAAGCCTATCGTCACAGACTTAAATACATACCAATCACAGCTACCACAATTGGTGACCTTATCTTGATTCCGTGAGAGGCACAACTTCATTTTGTAAAAGCTACCAAAAATAAGCCATAAAAAGTTGATCAAAAACACTGACATTATTCATCGTGTCACAAGAAAGGTGTAACAACGGCTCTATCCTATTTTTGGTCTTGTTAGCTATAGCTAGTACGAGTCAACCCTTAAACTTACATAGTATATAGTAACGTTAATACTGTTGTGGTGATATAATAATGTAGCGTTAAAGTAAGACACTTCTGTTACAAAATGAACTAATATCGGTTGTAATTGCAAAAAATCCTACCAAATTTTTAAGCTAACGTGACATTAGCCGTTTTTTACGAGAGCGCAGCAATCTAAAAGTGAGCAAACTACGGACTTCAACGTGAACTCACCTCCATAACTGCTGTGTTGGTGATTTTTTATAAATGTAACAAATTATACTCTGTCGTTTAAGGTTATGACTTAAATATTATGTTTAGAAACCTTACCGTCAGTGGGGAGTTTTCTCTCTGTAACTTCAGCAACTTACACTTTCTGTTCAGTTTATTTTCACCTGGTTTATATTAACTTTCGTTTTTGCCGACAACACTAGTATCAGGATACAGTCATGTACACAATTTTGCACTGTGATTCCTACGGCCGGTTAGCTCAGTTGGTTAGAGCGTGGTGCTAATAACGCCAAGGTCGCGGGTTCGATCCCCGTACGGGCCAACGTCTCTTTTTGTCGACCTCTACTACGGATACTTGTCTCGTGTCCTACCAGCTGTTAATAACAATTTAAACCCCCTTTAGAAATACAAGCAAATTCCACATCAAATCGTTAACAACTAATTAAAAACTAGATTGAGACAACTGTATAATATTTAGTCTGTTGTATGAATGTGAACATAGAGACAGCTAGATCAGCAACTGGAAATAGTTTCTTTCATCACCATCCTGAATTTTGTATTAAATCATGAAGCTAGTGACATCATCACTACTAAATTAATTTTCTAAATCTCTTCACTAGATATGGAAGCTTATCAAATTGGACATTATGCATCTGATGTTATAATAATGACATTTATTGGCTTTAGATCTGTTCCATAATATAGTATTTAGTGAATTGAAATAATTTCAGTAAATCAAAATCATTGGAGCATTGTCACATTTCAAAATGTACAACAACTGATGCCCAAAAAGTCCCATTGCTTTACATGTATTGTCTCATCTTGACTACACATAATCAGAATATACAGCTAGTGCAGATGAATTAAGAAATTAACATTATAGTAAAGTTGATGGTTTAGTATAAACTGCTATCCATTCATGAAGAAGATTTTACATCATTTACATACATCCCCATAACATGTCAAGCAGTAATTATTTTTAACAGATTGCACCAATTACAGTTATTACTATATGGAAAGATGTAAGTAATGATTACAGTCTGAATTTACATTTTTCTCTCTAATCTATATCATTTCAATTTTCTCTCTACTCTGCCTCCAGCACATACAAAGGCCATGAAGATGTGCATTGGTTTAACGCCATTACTCCACTCCGTTTTTCAAACCATCTTCTTCCCTTTGCCCTGAGAGGGTTTAGCTGGACAGAAATGCTTGGCCATGAGAATGCAGATGTTTTTCCCACACCCCCAGCACTGTTGCTTGATGTGTGCAGAGCCCTGCTGGGTCTTCCTCTTACACAGTGAACACACTTTGACAGTACGCCCACCACCTCTTCCAGATCTTTTTGCTAGAAGCTGTTTAAGCTCCTTCTCTATGGTGGTGTTTGGTGCCTTTACAATGCCCACGACCTTCACTCTTTTGGGGTCAAACACACAGTCCTCCTCTAGGCCGCTAGGTACAGACATCATGCCACAATTGGGGGGGACCCAGGCAGTGCTGTAGCCCTGCGTGTTCCAGGTGTACTGCATAGGATGGTTGTCTTTGTCAATACGCTTGACACGGCCAACACGCACACGTAACTCAAAGACCACACGGTCTGAATCGTTACTATTCAATGGATAATTAGATGCCTTTTTCCTGTCCCGACTGACGTACACACCCTTTCCCAGCATACCATGTGATGACGGTTTAAACCCATTGGCAATGATGAGTCGTGCACTGGCAATGCTGGTCCCATGGTACATGGTGTAAACCCCCCGGTGCTGAGGTGTCTGTGATGGCCCCAGCTCCACACCAGGAAAAGAAGCACCATCATCGACCACCTCCCAGCCAGAGAACTGCACTGACATGCTGAATTAGGAGTGTGGCTGTGAGAGGATGTTGTCCAAGTCCTGCAAAGGTCAGTGACTCTGTAAGAGATGAATACAGAAATGTGACACCATGTTATAGTAGATTCATGAGATTTATAGAGATTGTGTAACTTTTACTTTACAGAGGCAAGTAAAAGCCATTAAGTAACAATATTATGTATCATGAACATTTCTCTTTTCATGCATGTTTGTCATTGGATTTTGTTTTGCAAATGAAAATGTAAGTATAAGTTTACCCAAACTGTTGCTGCCACTGGCAATCATATCTGGCAGTGTACTGCAATCCCTCTTCTCAGGTTTAATCTCTTCTTGTCTATTTCAACTTATTTTCTTATCTTCTAATTAATTTTAATCTTTTACAATCATATTTCATATGTGTCTTTATATCTACAGTAATTCTTTTCAAACTTGTCTTATGTAATTGCCCTGTGCCTTTTTTTGCTTCCTCATATTTTTGGATTTGATTTGAGTGACATAGTTGCTCAATGAATCACCTGTGTTTCCTTACTTGTCAGAAGTCTGTCCATCTTGTACATGCTGTTTTGCTGGTACTCTAGTTCATGAATTCAGATTTCTTAAACTTTCAATGCACTTCACACTTTCCCTTTATGCCCCTCCACGGGAGCCCTCCCTCCACTGTGTGAACTAGTGGGCCAGATGATGACACATGTAGTCTAAACATAGACTGTATAAAAAAAGTCCGTGTGTGTCAAAATAATATATAATAAACAGAAAGACTATGCATTAGGTCAGTCTCTGTACTCTAAACACTAACATGAGTAAAACGATGGACATGTAGCATACTTCTGCATTATCATATTACAGTGTTATATACATGGGTGTATTATTACATCGATGGTTTTATAACTCCTGGTTGTTATTTTGGAGATTTTCTCTATAAATCTAGCACAGTACATTGCTTTTTAAGGTTAAAAGGGATCAACCTACCGTCAGTGGAGACTCTGTTTCTCGTCCAGCTGAACAACCTTTACTTTCTCTTCAGTAGGTTTCATTTGCAGTCTTGACCACGTCATAACCAACTCCTGTCATGGCCAGTTAGCTCAGTTGGTCGCGGGTTCGATCCCCGTACGGTTCAACGACTTTGTTTTCTGTACGCATTTGCTGAAATGTGTCGTCTGTGATACGATGCATATTCCAGAAGATGTTTGAACACCTGAGATCAGCACAAACAAGTTGTGGTCGCAACACCCCTCTGTTAACATGGTGAAGTTCTTAGCAAACAGTTGACTACAGTCTAATATAGGCAGCCTATATAATGAGTCCATATAAAATATAACCTTGTACAAATCACAAAAAATAATAAATTCTAACAGAGAATCTATTAAAACTTACTCGTTTTCAGAGAGAGAAATCACAGTGCACATAAAACATGGCATCACCTCATAGTGCTACATCGCTCTTGATATATCAGACAATTTCGTAGCTCATTCGCTTGATGGCTTTGCTGTTAATGAATTAATGAGTCCGGAGCATAAAATGTAGTTTTTCAAGCCGAAATAGCTCAGTTGGGAGAGCGTTAGACTGAAGATCTAAAGGTCCCTGGTTCGATCCCGGGTTTCGGCAGTGAATTTTCTCTTCCCCCATAAACACTGTACTGCTGCACAATATCTGAATTGCATAATATGGCCCTATACTGCCAGGTCATTCAACTCATTCAACTCAAATGGCGACATACCTTTGAGCTCCAAATTAGAAATCACTATACATCCTAGTGCACTTGCAAGTTGTAACACTAATGTTTGAAGGAGAATTATGTAGATAATTCTAGGCATTCACTTGTTATTGGAGAACTATAGCTGGATCACATATGCATCCCTATGTTATGACTGAAAAACTAATTTTAACACTGAAACAGGCTGTCTTAAAATAGCTACTATTCAATCTTATTACTAAAAATAATTTCATATACTATATAATATTAAACTTTCATTTATGTGACATCCATTCAATACATACTTTTAATACAATAGTGATCTCATCTTAGGTTTTACAGTCAAGTCTAACAGGACCGACTGAATCCTGTATGCTTTAAAGTAAAAAAAGATTACTTGTGAGGTGCAAAGGTAGACAATTAATCTAATTGTTTTCTTAAATTGCACAAAAAAATAGCCACACTTGTTATTGACACAAGCAATTAAATCAAATATAGCTCAAGTCTAAATAGCTGTGGGCTCATAGAATAAGATGAGAATGAAGCTAGAGAGGGAGAAATCAACACTGTCATCCATGGGCATGCCTTTTGGTTTAAAAAGAGTTTGTCTCAAACGAGGCTTGACAGTAAAATGAGCTCCTCTTCAGTCACAAGTCATTGAGCTCTGCCACTGTGCTGCAGATGTGCCTGATATCCTTCTGTAGCATCTCCTTGTCAAGACGGGATTTGATGTCACCTATCTGCCTCAGGGACTCAATGGCATCGTGCACAGACAGGAACCCTGTCCAAAAGAGAAGTTTAGTTATTCACTTGTGATTGAGATTATAATGGTACTGAGTTGGGCTTTTGGCCTGGCTGTTTAGTGTTCAAATTGTATCTACATTAGCTTTGTGATTGTTCACTGGTTTTCTAACCTTGTATCATTTGGTGCTGTATAATAACCTTTGCTGTTATTAACCTGCTACATTTCTATTTAGTTTTGCTTTGATCTAATGATGTTAGCCTGTATTTTTCTCCCTCTCACATTCTTGTGATAAAATTGGCTTTGGGCCTCATCATCAGTTACTATGACTTCATTGGGTAGCTAACAACATGCCTATATCGCATGTACTCTAAGAGTAATATTCAGTGATTGTGAACTGTGAGGTGGAGAGATAAACTTCCTTATACAATGGTGGGATAATAAATCTCTCCTTCTCTGTCTGACTCCTTGCCTGTCTCGTCACACATATTTACGACACTCATTAAGTATGTATTGCTTTTCTCCCCTCTCATACCGTCTCCTTCCATCTTTTCATCCTATACTTAAAACAGAGCTGTGGATGAATTGCTCTCTAGCACTGAGATCGGTGGCTGAATGGTGATTCATAGAGCAGTTTACCCCTTCTCTTATCTGCTGAGGGAGCCTTTGCCTCTTTTCTGTTTGTCTACTGGAGATTGAGAGAGACTGACAGAAAGTGGGTGAGTTTTGAGATCTAGTGCCAGGGCTCCTGGTAATTGAACCTCCAATATACACAGCCGTGAGAAGGGGATGGATGTCGACAGCAGCGTGATGCAGAGTTGTGCTGTTGGATGGCTGTGTGTTCCAATAGCTTGTCCTATGACTTATTAGTTTTGAGGTAGCTATATGAAGCAGCTGTAGCTCACATCCACCCAATTTCCTTTGGTTAAAAGGCTCGCTGTATCTCCCATATTTGACACTTTTCTTTTGTTTTATTTGAAGTTGAAGGTGCATTTGTGGTTTTAAGTACCAAAACCATCTCAATATAGTTGTGTGTGAATATGTTTGTCCTCTCTCAAGTTTCTCTCTGGAGCTTTATCAAGAGCAGGTAATTTTGTGTCACCGGTAAATGCAAATGGTCAGTGCTGAAATGAGCTGAACAGATGGTCAAATTTGAACTAAAATGTTCTGGTATTTCAGAAAAATTAAACTTAAGCCACTGAGATCTAATATTTATATTCTTGACAAGGTTGTGAAATAATTTATTGGCTTCTAGATATCCAACGATTGCACGTTTCTTCATCATTTTTCTGTCTTGTGACTTGCTAAATGACAAAATGACCGCTTAGTGTTGTGTTGTGAATAAAGGTAAAAAAAAAACAAAACAAAAAAAGGTTGGTGGGTCCAGGTGGGCCATGCTGGGGGCATGGCTGAGGGCAGTGACTGTATAATTGTGAAATCATAAAATTATGGATGTCCTGAAAGCTTGTTTTAAGGCACAGTTGTATGCATGTATGCATTTCTCTGTGGATTTTTGATACTTTAACTGTATTTATATTGCACATAGTCCTGCTTTATAATAAAAAAGATTTGGAAACCTCACTTTCTACAATTTGGGACCTTTAAGATCAGGAGCTCATGTTAGTTAGTGTGTTGTTTCTGGTAGTCATCTGTGTCGCATATTAAGTCTGTGGTTGACTCCGATGTTTTTGATGTGGTGTACCTGTATATATTTGATTTGTCTACCATCTCAAAAAATCCATATATTCGTGGACAAATTTGTACAGTATAACAGTTAATTAGAGTGTAATATTGACATGAGTCTGTTGCAGGCCATATGGGCCAATACATGTATTCCTTAACAAAATTGATCATGGCCTGTCAAGAGATTTTTAGGCCAATAAGAGGCCAATCCCTCTATCATTTAATCTATCACTGGACTGGTTCTATAGTTCTGCTGCTTCTTGAAATAATCATTAAAGTAGTTGCAGTAGATGCCTAGGATAGAGAAATACAGAGAAATACACAAACCCACTTTACACTGTCAACATAAAAAATGTATATAATCGCAACTATTTTATGAAACCACATGAGATGAGTTGGAACAGTTCTGAATAAGATTGTGTACATGTGTATCTGAGCTGTGCTGCTCTTACTATAAACATAATTCAAATATAGCTCACTTCTCATGCCTAATTGAAGGTGTCATCACCAAGTCATCGACCATTGTGATTAACTGGTTTATTGAGCATCTCATTTGTGGGCAAAAGAAATTAACTGCATCAGTCAAGTAGTCAGGTCATGAATTTATGACTAATTAGCAACAGTCTCTCTCTCTCTTGCTGTGTCTCTGTTTCTGACTGTTGTGAAGCATTTTTGCATGTGCATTTCTTCTTTGACATATAAGGTAAGGTACAAGGTACATGTTGTCATGGTTTGCTATGGCAGACACCTTTTGTTAGTTTTGTTTGGACTTTCTCACTTCCTGTTTTATTTTGTAATTGGTTTCCTTGTGTATCTCAGTGTTTTTGCTTCCGGTCTTGGTCCTGTTTCTGTGTGGTGATTGTCTGCCCCGCCCTAATGTGTTTCACCTGTGTTCAATCACCCTTGCCTCCCTTGTCTATATAGTCTTTGTGCTTCCCTTTGTCTGTGTCGGTTCGTCTGTTTAGTTCTGGGTTTGTCCTCATCAGTTCACGTCGTCTGTTCATGTCTGCCTTTATAGTTTAATAAACCTGTCTGCACCGTCTCCCATGCGTTGGCTGCATTTGGGTCCAGCCCTTTACCCCTCAAACCCTTACACCCGTGACACATGTAGTATGCATGTATGTATGTATGTTTACGCACTGATGACAAGAAAGTCCCAACAGAGATCACGCACCTTTGTGATATTCCTGTTTGAGCAGCTGCAGCTTCTGCTGAAGGCTGTTCTCCAATGAGGTCAGTCTTTTACTGAGTTTGGTTTCAGAGCGTTTCAGCTGATTTGCCTGACTTTGGTCAGCTTGGTCCCGTTGGGTCTCAAACTGCTCCACACGGGCCTCCAGAGTGCGCAGCCGTTTAGCTAATCCAGACTCTGCCTCTAACTGAACACAGAACACACACACACACACACATAAAACGTAACATTTCAAACCTACAGTACTGCACCACAGTTCTTTAATCCTCACCCTGTATATGTGACAAATCCTGAACATTCTTTTTAATCCTGATTTAAGGCACCACTTGTTAACATTTCAGCTTTATAAATTTAGAACCATATTCCTTTTGAGATATATTAGTGTAACACAAAGTTCACCACCAGTAAGATCTGCAACTTTTACGGTGCATCAAACAGGTACAGGGTGCTGGTCATCAGGCAAAAATTGAGCAGACTTCTGAATGACAAAGAATGAAACAATAAAAAGTTTCCAAGATGTTTTTCAACTTCAGTAAAATCAAAAAAAGCAAATAAAATTGGGGAAGGGATGAGAAGCAACAACCTTTTTGGTCAGTATGAAACAGGTCTCATTAATGATGATGTATCAATGCTGACATTTGTTTTTAGTAAGCACTGACCACTTTGACTCTTTGCAGCTTTCTCAGCATGTTTTTTTTTCTGCTCAAAAAGTGTGCCTTCACATTTGAGCACCACAAACAAAACAGTTGTCTCTTTCAGATCAAATTGTAGACAGTAAAGGAAAGGGAGACAAAATGAACAGATATACCATAGAGAGCGATACTGTACCATTTTGTCCTGTAGCAGTGAGCGGAGCTGCTGGCTGCACCGTGCATGTGTCTGGATAGAGCTGTTGAGCTGTTGTTCTGTCCACTTTCTCAGTAAATCTGTCTCCTCCTTGACTTCCTTTAGACCACCTGAAATCCTACAAAGACATCATGAATTGAAAGTAGAGAAAAGAGTGGGCGTTACTATGAAAAAATGCAGTCAAGGATGAAAGCTCTGAAGTTGCAGATTGCATTTTCTCAGTTTCTTTTTTCAAACTAGAAAAAAACACACCATTAGTAGATGATAATGGATTACAAATGTCTTGGGAATGCATCTAGACTGACTAATATCTGGAGGATCTTCCTGAGGAGCTAATAGCTAGCAATGTATCATACTATAGGTAACGATAGGCAGTATTTCATTGGAAATTCTATTTAATATAAAACATATCACTTCAATTCAGTTGACCTTCTTTCTTCTAATTTCTTCAATGTAAAGGATTCTTGACATGACCAGGATTGTAGATGTGTTTCTACAAATCAGACTCCATGGCTGGTCCATCAAACACATTGGCATCAATCTCTTGTGTTTGTAATCTTTGTTGTTTTAAAAAAGAGGCAATCAGATATTAAGGATGCAAAGTCTACATTCTACAGAGGTACCTCGGTGCAAAGAAAGTTAATAAAGGGCCTTCTGAATTGTGTCCACCTATTTCATTGAGATAAACCTATAGTAGATAGGTGGATGTATAGGTTCGTGTATTTATTTATCTTACCTGATTCAGAAATTCTGATTGTGGCTTTTCATCTATTTTTATCTGTTGGTCTTTTGGTTTTGACATGATCAGTGACCTGGTTTCCATTACTGATCTACATCACCACTAAATAGAACATATTCATTATTCATGTGTCTGTTTCTGTTTCCACTATGGCAAAACTATGCATTTCCTTTTGCACAGTTGCTTTCAACTAAGATTATTCATCCATGGGTGAGTAAATGACTAAACTAATAGCCTTATTGGGCCTCGGGCATCAATGGTTTTCCATGGCTCTGGAATGAGAATCTTGGGGATATTATTTGATTAACAAATTAGTAGCTCGTAGATTTTTCTTTATTGTGTAGGTCTCGACAGAATGAAAAAAGCAACATAAAGAATAAGTCACTTGAGGAGCCTTGCTAAAAAGCAAATTAGCCAAGACAATGGCCATACTTCCCAGTCGCAAGCGGCACACTGAATATGTAACAAACAGTCTTTAATAAATTCAAGTCTGGAGAAAGTATGGGATTAAAAGAAAATAGCAACCTCATTATGCATCCACAAATCATTAGCCCCACAAGATGAGAGGTGTTGCTTTTATCACTGTAACAATGCTGCAATACAAGTTTGTTACATACAGTTTTTTTGCAGTCTTCACTGTTTTTTTTATTTATTTATTTATTTTTTACTCCTAATCACTGCTAGCTATGTTGTTGTGGTTGTACACTCGCTGCACTGAGGTCACTCCATGAAAAGAGAAGAGGAAAGAAAGTAAAAGCAAAATAAGACATGGCTTAGTGTTACAAGTAATCCAAGCGTGGGTTGCTCTGACTCTTAAAAGAATGGCCTTACGTGTCTTCTAGTAGTTTAACTTGTCTCTGCAGATCAGACATAGAGCTTCTTTGGCTCTGCGGATGCTCTGTCAATGAGGCCTGCAGCCTTCCAAGGTCATGACGAAGCTGGTGACAGAAAAACACACAAACAGATGCGCTTATGTGATGTGAGAGTGTCTTGTGGTGCAGGCTCCATTAATTGACCTTTACCCTTTGCAGTTTCTGCTGAGTTGACTTGATCGAGCCACTGCACCGCTCCTGCGGCCAGTGAAGACTGGAAGAAAGAGCCATGACCCGCTTCCTCTGCGTTTTCAATTATCCTTATGGTACATGCTTGACCACTGCACCACAGCTAATGTGTTACCATGAAAATGATTTACCACCTTGTGCCACCAACATAACTCAGTACAGGCTGAGTCGGTACGGGTGTGTGTGTGTTGTGGTCAGCTTTAAATTTAGTAACGCGATGAAGATTATAATATGTGACATATGAGTCCTAATCCAGGGTTTTAGTATTTTTCTAACAATGATCTTGTAAATAAAACAGGACACAAAGGGCTGTAAAAGCTATTTATGGAATGACCTTGCCATCCCTGTTTGCTTGAATTCATTTCATATCTCATTTCTTTCTTTCAGAGTCTGTGGCTGTGGTTTAGTCCCTGTGTTTACTCATTTAGTCTATTCTCACTCAGCAGCAGTAAACTATAACTCACCTGCCAAGCAGCCAGTCACCCTTTCTAAACAACAAAATACATTCCCTGTGTATATTGTCAGATTATAGTCTTTCATGAAAAAAGGCACCTTAATGAATGTAATCCCCCCTTTATACCCACTGGGAACCATTAACGTCTGCACCAAATCTTTTGTCAATCCATCCCTAGATGTTGAGCTTTTTTTTTTTTTACAGGATAAGTGAAAACTCTGACCCGCTGGTGGCACTAGAAGATAAGTTGAAGGTTCACCAAAGTAGGCTGGGTTCTTTCTCTCTGCATAATGAATGTCTGTACCAAATGTCACGGTAATCCATCCAATAGTTGTCGAGGAATGTCACTAAAAAACAAAAAATGTCAACCTGCTCGTGGCACAACAGGAAAAGTCAGGGGATCACCAAAGTGATTGAGGACCCTGAAAGGTTCATAGCGAACCATTGAATAGTTGTTGAGATATTTCCTTTTAGAGAAGATTTTATTTGTGGCACTGGTGCTTAGCTGCTCTCTACATCATGTTAACGGTTGTAACTGTTCTGTCAAACTACTTGTCAGCACTGATGCATCATTTCTCACCTTGACCTCCAGCTCTTTGAGCCTTACATCCACAGCTGACCTGAGCTCTGCCGCCTCCTTCTGCAGTCTAATCATCTGCTGCTCCCCAGAGCTCATGTCAGCGCTCAGCTTGGCAATGCTGGCATCACACCTGAGATAATAGGTGAAGAAGCACAGAGGGATGGTGAGATCATCCAGTGATTGAGAATAGTGGGGTGGCAGGGAGTTCAGGAAAGGTGTGAGGAAAGGGAGATGAGCAGAGGGCTGGGCAGTGCTGGGAGGAAGCTCCATACTGAAGCACCCAGAGTTAAGATGGTAAGCAGTGAGAATTTATCATTACAATGATGAATAAACACATTTGAATGTTCCAGTGGTTTACTGACAAAAAACAAACAAAACACTGGTAAAACACGACACCAATCAATTAAATAGATTAGTTTAATAGACATATTAGCAAACACAATCCAGGGAGAGTGGAAAAGTACTTTACAGCCTCTAACATGTAACATTTTGTTCGTAACATATTCTCTTTTCAGTTTGCGTGATGAAAACTAACTGCGCGGATCCTTTATCAGCACTGCAAAATAGACCTCTTCCTTCCCGTTTTTTCATTAAGATTTAAGATTTCCCTGTCTCTATCAGCAATATTGAGTATCAATATAATATTTGTGATAAACTACAATATAAGCTCATCAACAAAATCCAGCAGCTAATTATTGAAATGTCCAGTGTGAGATTTGTGTTATTTCCCTGTAGACCATTACAATGCTTCCATAAAGGGCTTAACAGAACAATAGTTTATCAAAAACCTCTGGCCCTTAGCTTACTTGATTATTTATGACTGACGTACAAAAGGTTATTAGACTGAGTAGGTGTGGTTTTTCTATTTCGTTATTGGACCATAAATCAGGTGTTTGTTGCGTAATAGGCAATATCCCTTTTCACCACTGACCTCTGAAACACAATGGAGGAGGCATGCCTGCTATGAAACGAGAAGCTCTACATAACACTACATAGTAACACTTCATCTTAGATCGACTGTCTGACACGACACTACATTATCTCAGATGCAATGACCAGTGATTACTTGGGATTTTCAAAAGAATTCAGCCTAGGTAGCTGCACAGCAAAAACACCAAAGCAAGTCCTGTTAATCAGAGCAGTAAGATGACAGACTCTATTCAGCAATCTAGTCTAATGAGGGTGATCTGCACAGTCACAAAATAATGAGAAAGTGCTAATCAGAGTGTGTTCAAACCACGAAACTTCAGCCTGGTGATAAACACATAATTAACGTGTGCATGTGTGTATGTCTGTGAGAGTGTCAGCGGTGATGCCACGATGAATTGGAAATTGTGAGACTGTGAAGAGCTGCCAGACAAGATGCAGGCTCTACAATTTCACTTCATTAGAGGGAGAGAAAAACAAGTAGGATATCTGCAAGGAGAGTTAATCAGTCAGATCACCCTGTGCAGCAGACATGGATCTAAATTATTGCCCAATTGCTCTAAATAATGCTTTGGAGGAAAGTTTTAATTACTTTGGCACTCATTTCATTGTTGTATTTCAAATGCACTGTGCAAATTGTGCCTCAGTGTATGCAGACAATGGGCTTGTGTGCGTACCTGGCTACTCTTCCTCTCAGGTCTCCAATGCCAGCCATGTTTTTCTGGTCTAAGCTTTGAACAGCTACTGTGGTTCCAGAGGTTACAGAGTCCCGTTGGGTGAGCTGTCCCTCTAGTGCCTGCGCAGAACAAAGACAGCATATTTGGTATACAGTGTCTATTTTATTTTAAAAGAACGGCTCTCTTTTCTCAGCAAATTAAAGTTCAACAAAATACAGATGAGAAAATGTGTAAAATGTTTATAAAAATGTCCTGGATGATAATTCATAATGGCATGTTAATTCCCTCTCTGTTGCCCAATAACCATTGTGGGTAAACTACTTTATGTCCCTTGTTAAGAAAGATAACTTAAACTGTCAGAAATTTCATCACCACCTTTGCATGAATGATTATTCTACAGAACTGGCCAATCACATGCATGTAACAACATCAAAGAGATTGACTGTCTGATGTCACTTTCATTTTATTTAAATATTCTTTTCACAGCTTAGCTTATTATTTCTTCCTGTGCTGAATTAATTAGCTCTTAGGGATTCATGTAATATTTCAGATAATGACAGCCTCTGATTGTGTTAATGGCCCATTTAGTATGCACTAATGAAGCTGTGTATTTCATTTCCATGCTCTGTTTCAATATCAGTGTGGCTCGATGTTCTGCTCAGTCAAAGATGACTCCAATCTCTTTCTCTCATGAGTCAAATTTTCATGCACTTTCCAGTAATTCTTCTGACAACTGTTTTTCAGACTTTATTGCATTACATTGCAGCATTTATTTATCCACACACTGTGGACATCATTAGTTTTTTGCTTATACTGACAAGATGACTATGAACTGATAATGATGAGGAGTCAGTTGGGCTTTGCTCAGACGCTGCACCATTCTATCAGGTGTAATCAAATCAGCTGTGAGTTTGTGGACATGAGTGTGTGTTGGTGTGTGTGTGTGTGTGTGTGTGTGTGTGTGGGTGTGTGTGTGTGTGTGTGTGTGTGTGTGTGTGTGTGTGTGTTGGTGTGTGTGCTGCAACATTAAAAGAGGCAAGGAAAAGAGAGCAGATAAAAGAATGTGCAAGAAAAGAAAACCACAGGACAGAAAGACTTGTAGTAAAATAGTAAACATATATACCACAAAACAAGCACAGAGACTGCGAGTATACAAGACCACAGTACATTAGTTGAGTGATTTTGCACAAGACAACACCTTATCCACTACCCTCCACCATATACCCACTTGTATACCTGTATGTCCATGCTAAGCTGCTTCACAATACGTGTTATAGTCAGTATGTGACTCTCCAGCAGCTTACGGGAAAGTGCCTCCACCTGGACAGAGCCCTTGGTGGACTCCAGGCCTGCTGCCACCTTCTCTGTGACCCTGAAAGCCTGCTCCTGCAGCACAGCCAGTGTCCTCTCCTGACAGCACAGACGACCCTCCAAGACATCAGGCCTTAAAAGTGAAAAGAAAACCAATCTTTGAGTCATAACATTTTAAAAGCTCTTTATTATTGAGTTTTGTAATGTGGTGCAAATCATGCAAAGCCAAGTTAACATTTTATAGCACCAGAACACAGGAATACATTCAGGACAAAACTATATATATTTATAAGTGTAATCCAATGAAACATTCATCCACCAAGAAGAATAATGCAGACAGAATGAGATGATGTGCATTGGTTTTCATATCCTCAGGTCAACCCCAGACCAGATCTCTCATTGACTTCATGTCCCTATGCGTGCTGTGTCACCCTGCCTGATGCTACAGTGGATTAAGGATTCATTTGATCAATGTGATTCACAGCGGTGATAGAAAGGTCGCAGGTGGTTTCTAACCTCATTTTCATCCCATTAGCATGGGAAAGTTTAATTTATCTACCTCCCTCACAGACTGACTTTAGAATTGAATTAGTGAGTCACAGGAACAAAGTAAGGTGAGAAATGTGTATTGCAATACAGTAATATACATGGTTGAAATACATGGTTAAAACACATTAAATACACTGTAAAATACAGTAATTAAGTAAGAGACATTACCTGCTGTGATTCTGATAGGGCTCTAACTTTGACTCATGTGACATTCTTCTTTTCTAAAAAGAAAACACACATATTGGTGAGATCTACAGTAATTACTACTCAGATGGGTTTCTAATGCAAACTTACTGCTTTGTTAAATGTATCATAATTATTATTCCTAAAATCAATAGAAAGTTTTTCTTATAATGCAATATAATATGTTCCCTTCTATTAACAACAATATATTAAGCAATCGTTTTCTTGCTCTCTTTTCAGAATACTCACAGGCTTGTATGATTTTCTTCAGTTGGCTCCTGAGTTCATGTGTTTGTGTTGTCACGTCACTTGGTAACTGTGGTCTCCTTGAGTGGAGTGCACCTGCCTGACAATGTGAATTTGTCCAATAGTAATGCGAGAATGATGCATTGTATATGTTGTGAGGCAGTTTAACTCAGCAAACCAGAGTATCTGCTGACCTGGGAGTGTGAGCATTAGTTTAACTTAAACTCTGAGAAATGCAGTTCTTAAGGCAAAATACACCTAGACACATTAAGTCACTAAGAAAGCAATGACTTAAGTCACCTGTTATTCTTCATCTCACAGGTATGACTTTTATCTGATTTTCTCAGATAATGTTAAATGATTTTCATGTAAAATAATCTTCCTTCTCCACATTCTGGATTTCATTTTGGTCTCGTGAAATATTCTATTTCATACTCCATTTCACTGGAGTTAGCCTAATCTTGATATTTCAGAAATGGTTTCAAGATTTGATTTATTCAGAGTCTAATGCATGTGTCAACAATCTAGCTGTTCTCAAATGGTCTTGCTTGTCACATAATACACCTAAGCAGTTTGAAATGCAGCTGAATGTGGTTAATTTCTATACAGATTACAAATGCACATTACTGGCATTTGATTAAAAGTCTGCTCCTTCCTGCTGTAGAAGAATTATAGAAGCTTTTATGTTAAGATAAAGGTGAAAGCCACTGGTTTACTATTCTATAACTGTTTAGGTAAAGCACTTAAGCTTTAAATTACTTCAGTGTAGCTGCTCTTTGGCTAGTACTGAGAGGAAATGTGCTTGTACCAGGCAGGTCTGCTTTTTGTGGGTGAAGCAGACTGAGACTGTAAAACAGAATATTTGATTATTTGAACTGGCCGCAGACAGTAACGGAATATTGGCCAATTCATTAAAAGCATCCTTTCCTGCTGTTGCTTCAATTCACACTATATAATAATATTTTATTCTGTGGCATGGTAGCTATCCATTCAGCTTTTCTCTGGACTGAATGAATTATGAAGGGAATGATTCAACTCAGAGTGAAAATGGCCTTATTGTGTTTTTAATTTAACCAAACACGTAGCCTACATTATCACACAATGGGAGTCAAGTTGCTCAATTAGTGACACCGAATTACATGCGACTGCAGTGAGTGAAAGAACATGTCTCTGAATGGGTAGCCGTTTTTTGCAGGTGTGTGCGTGCGCAGCCACACACACTGTGGATTAGTCTCGTATCATTAGGACAGGCATCATTAAGAGGAAAGGCCTGCCCAGTGCAGACTCATCAGTTATCCATGCTAGCCCAATAGAAAAGCCGATGGCAGCTGAAAGAAACTGTCTGGCTCACATGCTCACATCTCCATCTACTTAACTGAAAGGGATTCTCAGGGCAGTCCACTGTGTTGTTGCCAGTGGCCTCCTGGTTGTAATTTAAGTGTTCTATTTTGTAGGATGGATGAGATATCAAATGATTCCAAGCTACAACCAAATTTGTTATTGGCTACTCATCCAATATTTGATACATATGCATATTACTCACAGATGTATCTATACATCAAAAAAAAAATTAAAGATACTGAAGTTATATGAAGCTGTCTTCTATACATCTCCGTGTAGCTATAAATCCTGCAAATGAAGCCAAGGTCTAGCATGAAGAAATGTCCATACAAACTGCATGCAAGGCCTTGAACCCTCACTCCTCCCTAATTGTGTAGTGGGATGATGTCCATCCAATTATATCATTCCTTCCCCTTTGTTATTTATTTGCTCAAAGTAACATATCATCAGCCCCTTTTTGTAGAGAAAAGGTCATGCCGTGACCTCTGTGTGTGTGTGTGTGTGTGTGTGTGTGTGTGTGTGTGTGTGTGTGTGTACATATGTGCCCAGAGAGTTAGACGGCGAGACATATTCACTCTTGTAATTACTGTGTGTTTGTTTATGCGAATGTGGGTACAGTGTTAACCAGAGGGATGGAACAGGCCAGCAGTGAAACAAGGGCCAGAGGGGAAGATGTAATGAGTTATTATACACATCACAACAGCACAGTAACTATAAAGAGAAGAGACTGCTGAACGCTGCCTGCTCGCTGCTGCGTGTGGGTGATAACATTCAATGATGCCTGGCCTATTTCATGGAAAGAAAACATCCAGACATAGCTACAGTGCAGAAACATCCACATGACACAAAAGACAACAAGTCTTCAAAACCTCTAATGTTTCAGACTGACTGTCAGCTCTAAATTTACCAAGGTCTGCATTTTGAAAGAGTGAATCCAGAGACTATAGATCACCAGTCACAAAAAACGCTTTTGCTATTAATCTACAAAGAGATACACTCAGACGGGATGACAGGGAGCCCACACTTACAACATAAACATCCACGAGGCACCGTGGGGTTGTGTTATGCAATCACCAGCATACAGATTATACAGTCGTGTGACATGGTTGGCCAGAGGGAGGCGCGGTGCACCCTTCGTCCTTCATTTGAATAGAACAATTAATGAGGAAGTTTGCTAAAAACCCTGGTTAAGCACAGTGGACAGAGCAGAGGCGCAAAGACCGACAACAGCCACGCAGAGCATTTACCAAGCATTTTTAGATAATCTTACAGAAGTCACTGCATGTGCTCCAACTTCACCACAGAGATGAGATAAACCTCCAATTGACGAGACTAATGCTTGCCGTCTAACAAGCGTGCTGCACAGAGTGTGACACAAAAATGACAGTATTGCTTGCATAGGCATTCTGCAAGGTTCGTTGTGAGACTAACTCCCCCTTCATCATCACACTGTGCGTTTCCTTCTTGGCGCTCTAAACTGATCATCAGTGGAAGTACTCCCGAGCTGCAGCAGCCCAACTGTGACATCCTTCCACTACACAGAGTGTGCTCAGGCTGGCTGGCTGCTGCACAGGCACCATGGAGCAAAAATCACCTAAGGATGAGAGCACCGCCAAAGGACAAGAGTCTCTGTCCTACCAGCGGAGGATGTGGAAGAATTTCCAGGAGAAAACCAAGCCATGGCTGAGTCCTAAACTGGGATCGGAGCGTCGCGGTGCCGGGGGCGCGGAGGGCAGCAAGAAGGAATCGGGGCTATGGATGTTTAAGAAGAAAAAGAAACAACTGGACCGCGTGTTCTCGTCGTCTCAGCCGAATCTGTGCTGCTCTACGCCGGTGTCCTTTGAAGGAGATAAGAAGTCAATGGGAGGTGACGCGGTCCCCGGCACCAGCAAAGACGGACAGCCCCTGCTACATACCCTTGGCGCAGCTTCTGGGGCCACAGGGAGCAAGCCTGAGCTGACTGCTCACGGAAGCCCCAAACTCCCCGTATCCCAGCTGATCACGTACCAGCAGAAGAGCTCTTCTCTCGGCTCGGCGTGCTTCGAGAAACTGGTAGTGGACCCGGCCGCGGTGGTGGGAGAGGAGGAGCAGCTGCGTAAAAACGCAAGTGATTCTGTGAGTAAAAACACATGTGGTAAAACACTCATCTGGTAAATTCTCTGGAAGACTATAGCAGATATTAAAATCCATAACGATAGGCGACATTGCCCTGGAAATTAAATAAAGGAAACAAGTTTCATGGTGATGGTGCTGCGAGGTGCTCAATCATGTGAGAGCGCTCATCGTTTTGCCAGTTGACTGCTTTCTTTACTCATGTCCTGTATAGCTTGAAGGTCTGCATGGACCAGATGACAACCAATGCAAGTGTAGGCCTGTGTAATCATCACTAACAACAAGCTTACCTCACAACCTGCTAGTGTTGATATGTTACCATTACAGCTACCTCTGCTACATAGCTGGCAGAGTAAGGTTATTTTCTGTAACTGAAAATCTTATTTCAACACAGGCTACATGCTCTGATATTATTAAAGGTCTGCTTTTGTATGCTCAGACCCCTTTCTTCCAGAATAGGGTTTGTCCCCTAGCTTCACAGTCCATCTGTCACAGTGTCCTTGCCTGGAGACTGAGGCTGCAACAGGCCCTGTGTATGCTCAAGGGTCCATCGTGTCTTTCCTTTTCAATGAAATGTGGCCCAGTGTGCAAATGGATATCAGGCAAGCCACCAGTAGTGTTGGCAAATTGATGACAGGTATATTCCCACATCACTCAACATGCTGAGTCAGGGTGCCCCAGGAGAAACTCAGTGAAAGGGATATATCAGCTAGAGTAAGCTAGACTGTAAAGGCTATAGGCACAAAAATGACAAACAGTATATACGAAAAGGTCTAAGAGAAAATGTGAATTTGTAAGTCTTAGTCAGATCACGTGGAAAATGCTGACTGATGTGAGTAATAATTGAGTAAAAAATCTTGAAGGTGATGCCTGGACCCATGCCTTATCCCCTGATAGTAATGCCATTCATGAGACCTACAGCAGGTCTTGTCATTTTAGACAGGCTGTCTTGATGTTTATCACTACTGACAATTATGAAGACATAGTACTATGTGTGAAAGCCCATAAGTGCATTCTGCTTCAGTGGCCGCAGTTATTGCAAAGCTTTTCATCTCACCACTCTAGAAGTGCTCCAGACCTGTTTCTGAGCATCATCCAGATCGCTGTCTAAAAGTGATTTAGCATACAAGAACACCTCTCCCCACTGAAGTTGATGCCAAAGATCTCCTATCCATTAAATCTGTAGAAGTGTAATACACTCAGCTGAAAGGGTAAAAGAAAGCAAGTATAAATGACTTCATTGAAATTGATCTTGCAGATTCATCACAGCACTTAGTCTACCAGGTCAGTTACATAATTGAAAGGGATCTCATTTTGCCAAATAAAGTTCTAGCATTCGGCTGGAGCCATTGGTTACCTCCTGTTGTTGCCAGTTTTATCCAAGCATCTGATGTGCATCTGATTTTCCACATCTACAAAAAAGAGAGCAGTGGTAAACCCTACTTACAGTGACAGCATCATCTTCTTGGGTTATAGTGAGAGTCATTTTTTGTTAGCTGTATGCATGTATGATCACAGATATAAGATACAGAGTATGATCTATCTATCATATAATGAGGTCAGAGGAAGAAGAAATGAGAAAAAGGGATGAGATGACAGGTAATGAGAGGAAATACATGTAATAAAGACTGATCAGACAGGTTCAGAGATAATGAAAGGTGATGACATGAGATTAAATGAGGTGAGATAAAAGATGATGTGAAGTGATAAAAGAAAATTAAGATGAAAGGAAAAAAATTTAAAGAGATGAGAACAGATAAGATGAGATTACACATATCTCATCAATAACTGAGGAAAATAATATAATATAATTATAATTATACTATAGCTAAAATGCCTATGTTTGATATATTTTTGCATGTGCATTTTTGTGCATGTACTTTGATTTCATATTTTTGCATGTGCATATTGATGAAGCACTTACCTGCTTCCTAAACACTTTCCTGTCCCATCAAGGATTAGAACTCAAAGTCAGACATGTTTACAGTCATCCACATACCCAGTATTAGGTGAGTGTGTACAACTTCTCATTACTAAATAGAGCATAAAGCTCCAAGCACCAATTTCATAAATTAAATAAGAATATATAGAACACAACAACCAAAAAGCCATTTCACATTGGAAAATGAGTGATGGAAGGGATTAATGCCAAGTTCTGGAAGTCATTTCATTATTGACTCAGTGGCGTTAAAAAAAAGCACATTTAACTTTTGCTGCTTGCAATGCAGGGCAGTTGGAGTGTGTGTGTGTGTGTGCATTTCTAAATGTTAGTGAAGGCGACAGTAAACCATGGGACAGGGAGAAGCACCTGCTGAAGTAGAATATTATAAGAGTCATCTTCCTGGTCACCAATTTCCAAACCCTGCTAGTTGCAATTCTGTTACCTTTCCTAAATATATATCATAGCTACATCATAATGATGCATCAGATTGTGCCCAGTGATTGTGCCAATTGAGATACACATTCTCGATTTCACACTCCTCTTGTCCTTCTCTGGGTTGGTTAGCTCTCCAACCTTCAGTCTTGAGCAGAGTTGCCCTTCTATCATTACCTGATTGACCTGCTAGAAGCCCAGTGTCACGTTGAGCATTACTTTAAAATACCATAATATTGGCGGGAGGTATTGGCATATTTTTCTAGCAGAACCAAAGAATTGTGAGTGTAGGTTCTGAATTCCAATGAATTAATAGCCTGTGCATTCATAGTATCTAGAACCCTATGTTAACTGGGTGGGGAGGCAATTTAAATCACTGGTAAATAACTTTTCTCAAAAAACGCTTGTGCTGCCTCAAGATTTCTGTCTCTTTGTGGCTCTGTTTTAGACAACTGCAGCTGTGCTTAGATTTACGTCTTGCCACTCAGCCTACCATGTTTGGCATGATACAGGTTTCTACTCCTCATTCTGCTTCCCTCCAACTGTTTTTCTTCCTATTACAAATCAAATGAGTTTGGCCTTAACGTGTTACTTTATCAGCCTGCAAGATATCCTCAGTTTCACTCTGAATCAATCAATTTACTAACAGCTGGATGCTGGAAGAGATATGCATAAAGGATAGAAATCTAAAAAAAAATGTTTTCTGATTTAAGTGGATAGCTGCAAGTTAAAGGGGTAATTGAGACTATTCACTTTTAAACATGTACAGTTGGGTTCAAAAGTCTCAACTCCCTTATATTTTAATGTAAACCTGGAAATACTCAGAAAGTTTGAGGTTTCAGAAATATTTGACATGTAAAATATTTGACATGTAAAATGGAGAAGAAATATTTAAGATTCTGCACTGTTTCGAGGTCAGCTATCAGTTTGAAGAATGCGTTCAGATGACACTCAGGTCGATTTGATCAGAGACTGGTTCAAATAACTCAACTTGCAGTCAGTGGTCACCTGCTATAAATAAGGCTGTGCCTCAACTTTCCAGCAGATCATTGCTGTCAAAGTAGCATTGTTCTAGTGGGAAAAATGAAAGTAGAACTAAGTGAAAGAGTCAGAAGTCAAAAAACTGTCAGAAGTCGATTCATGGCTAGACTAAAGGTTTCTAAGGGGGCAGTGCATGGAACTCTAAAACGCTTTGCAGAAATTGGATTAGTTATATCCAAAGCACAATCAGACAGACCAAAGGTACACATTGTCAGAAGATCAATACATGAAGCTTAGTTCCCTGACGGATAGAAAAACAGCTTCATCACAAACACAGAATTGGCTAAATAAAACTCCAGTCAGCAAAAGTACTGTCAAAAGGAGGCTGTCTTGTGGTGGTCTCAGAGGATGAGTAGCAGTTTCTAAACCACTTTTCAGGAGGAGAAACAAGGCCATATACTTGGGATGGGCTAAGAAATATGAGCATTTCACAGTGGATAACTGGAAAAAAGTCCTATTAACTGATGAATCCAAATTTGCGATTTATGGCAGTAACAGAAGGATGTATGTCATGAGACAAAAAGTAGAGAGAGAGTGTATCAAATGAATATTGAAGTCTGGGGGAGTTTTGTCTGGAGTTTGACACCTGCACCAAACTGACTACAAGAAGTACTACGCCATTCTTTAGAGACATGCTGTACCCTCTGGTTTGCATCTTTGTGGGGAAGGATTCATATTGCAGCAGGATAATGTCCCCCATCACTCCTCAAAGCTTTGCAAGAACTCCTTGAAGAGCAAAGATGACCAAAGAGTCCTGACTGTCATGTACCTTTCCTCCACAGTCACTTGAACTAACCCTTCTGAACATTTATGGGGGCATTTGAAGACGAAGAAAGCCTGCTGGGTTTTGTACAAACATGGAGTCCATGCCGCCTTGAGTGCATGATGTCATTACAGCAAAAGGAGCACATATCAAATACAAGACATTGTGCAATTTGTTACACTTTTCAAAGAATATTTTTTTTATTGAAATATGGTTACAATGTAAAATGTATGACATCCTAAACAAATGCAAAAAAGAATGATCTTGACTAGTGTGTCTCAGACTTTTGAACCCCCACTGTAAAATATTTGAAATTCAAGAAGTAGATACAACACTTAACACCTGAATTAATTAGCTTAATTAGCTAACAGCAAAAATACATTGAGAAATGTTTTTCTAGTGATAACACTGGTACTCAGGTCAGACACCTATATCACCACACCTGAAGAAGAGCTCGGGTCCTTAAATTAAAGGAAACCACCGGAGTTCAAAGGTGAACGGACCTAACACTTTCGCGGCTAACTGTTAGCTTGTGGCGAGCCGTTGGCCTACTGTCCCACGGGCTGCATCTGCTGCTAACGCCTGTCTGGACCGTTGTTTGGGACAAACAAACCGACCGATATCCACCCACGGCGTTACACAGTCCGTTCAGACTAGGATGGAAAGCGTTTGAGAGTGCTTTGGTTAGACACGGGTTAGCAAGTCAAGGCATTCGCTGCATGTCTCCTGATATTACTTTTGTAGCTCAGTGCGCGGGCATGGGCTACCTGCCTCAGCATTTGATGCCTTCAAACATCACCTGACTTTTGGTGCCTGCTCTGCCTT